CAATTGGTGGATCAGATGGGAAGGTGGATCTGATCCGGCAATTAGACTTGTCAACATCTGTCCGTGCACGAGTGGCGCAAAAATTTTGCAGTCTGATGAACAAAGAAATACGTTTTTTGGCATGTAGCTCATGTGAAATTTTTAGCATGCACAATAAACAACTGCTGAACTACGGGCTAGCAAAATGTGTCACCACGCATGCGTAATGCATGCATGCTGCGATGTGTGCCTTGCCCTTTCCCAATTTTTGTTGCGCATTCTTCTGTTTTGTAACCTTTTTCATTTGTGTAATTTCACTTGCTTTCCATCAAAAATTAATTCCGTGTTTGCGTATAGCCTGCAGCGTGTGACAGAGCATCAAAAACGGAAGCAAAGTTTGAAGAGACAACGTACTAGGCTGAACATTCGGTCCGATTCAAGGTCGTCACATCAGAGGAACTCTGCACCCAAAACACTGCAGGGTCACACGCATGCTGCCCCAGCACGCCACACTGCCACACAGCGCGCACTCAGCAAGCTAGCACATGTGCAATGCTGAACTCAGTGACCTTTCGGGCAAGACATTTCCGTCCAAAAAGGTGGATCAAGTGCAAGTGGGAACACGACTTGTGGTTTCGTTGCGGAAAGATCACACCAAAATGTTGGATCAAGATCTACCTTTTCCCCATTCAAGTGGGACTGCGCTGTAAACCGTCTGTATTTTGACCTCAAGCCTAAGACACATCTAGCTGACTGGTCTTATGAAGGGTTCCTGAGATGGAGTCGACTGAAACACTGTCTAGATCTATACAGTCCAATCTGTCTTGCACCCATGTTACACACATTGTTTTGGAAATTCACAACACCAAACTGGTCCATGAGCAGTCATGCAGCCATCCAGTTAGCTCCTAACCACGCAGAGTTAAGAATTGCAGTCGGTATGACATTCATGGAATGGAAAGGACAGACGGCCAGTCAACTCTCATGTTGAAGTTATCTCATGTAAATGCATGATGTGACAGACTGCAAAGCAACTTACCTCCCCCAAGAACTCATTAGCACCATAGTGTTCAAAGTCCCAGACGGTGACCTCCAGGGTGTTACCTTTGAACTCTGACCGCTTCAAGGGACCGTACAGGAAGGTCTGGTTCCATTTGGGATTGAGAGTTTTGTGGAGAGTCTTTGTGCGACGTTTACTCTCATCACTAGGGCAACAAGCAGAAAATATACAAAAAAGCACAAAATGAGCAGCGGTGATATGGAGCAAATTCCATTACAAACTGGACAGGAGTTCTGTTAACAGAGAAATTATCACCTATTAACCACTTCCTGCCGGGCGACCCGCTTTTGAGTACATAGAGCCAGGGAGCTCGGAACTGGGACAAAAGAGTTCGGCCTTATAACAAGTGACCATGCTCAGCACAAAAGACTGAGCTGGTGGGCATTACCAACATTTTTTTGCTCTCAATAGTGAAGATAATCCAGCCTTGTTTTGAAACAGTATACCACGGTTTGAGGCATTTAGAGTGAGTGGGTTACCACCGGGGACAAAAGTGATGAGCCACACAGCACCACTGCATGCTAATCTGGCCCCTATTGAAAAGAGGTCAGCTGTGCACTGTGCCAGTTTCGGGAACAAAAGAATCTTACATAACACTGCACAATCTGGACTCTTTTTCCAGGGCTGCAGGCCTAACTGAAATATTCAAAAGTCAATAAAGGTTAACGGTCAGCTTTAGAGTAGTGCCCAAAGAGTCCTTCATGTAGGTATAAACGGCCATTAAATGAAATGATGAATTTTTGAAGAATTTTGAAAACGGAAAATCTTGACAAGGACCCGGCATCTTGTCTTGCTCAAGAAAAATCCACCCGGCAGCAAGTGGTTAAGCAGTTAGCGACATCCTAAATCAGGTCTTGTTCCTCACCTCCTCTCTGGAAGCAGATACATTTTGACATAGGGGTTGCGCAGGTCACCCGTCTTCTCCCGTGGTGGCAGGCCCTTGACACTGAGAATCGTCACCCCAATCTGGTAGTTGGTATTGTCGTACCACAGCTTCATCTAGAGGATTAAAATAAGGGATAAATGATGGAAACAATTCTTGTAATATTTCTTGCTCAAAAACGGGCACCTCAATCTCTCTATAAGATCACCACTGGTATATATATTGCTTGAATATGAATAAACTTCAGTGCTTGGCAAAGAGAAGCTGTCACAGAGATTTAAAAGTGAGAGAATGAAAGTTTATATATATGTGGTAAACTGTCCTGCTCAAAAACACAAGCATCTCAATGCAAAGTGGAGAAAAAGGTGCTTTACCTGGAGGTCTCCTTGCACCAGAGGTGAGCCATTCCGCCTTGTCATCCCAGGGCTTCCTGGGGACGTGATGGTGACCGACGGCCGTTTGTGCCGGACCTGTGGTGGTATCTCCTCCTCCTCCTTGTGCTTGGTGGTGGACTCATAGCCACTGGAGCCTGCACAGGCGCAAGAACAAACACCTACACACCTAACCAAGTAATACACCCAGCATGGGCTTCTTGTGGCAGGCTACGGCTAACCTACAAGTACACGTACATGTACATGGGACATCCATGTGGAGCCTACACAATTAACCACAGGCACCTGTATAAGTAATACACCCAGCACAGGTTTCTCTTGGAGGGCTTGGGTTACCCTGAATAGGGTATCATTAAATGCTCTTTTCAGAGGGCCAATGCCCTCATGGAGTTTTGGACGCTATTTTGTTTCAAGTTTTGGGTGGAATGATGTCATGCACTGTCTCTTTCATTCGTGTCTGTGTTCCCTCTGCATTACAAACAACGATATGGGAATCAGGCTTTACCCCAAATAAGGTCCCTTTTGGCTCAGGCTATGTAAATTCTACACAGGTTCAAGATGCCTACTACAAAACTAGCCACAAATTGGTTACCAAGCAAGGAGTTTTTCAAAAGTCTGAGGCTAAGGCTACTCTCAAATACCCAGTTTGCCTGATCTTTGAACACACAGTCAAGCCGTCCCAGGTGCAAGACACACACTTAACCACGCCCCCCTCCACCTACTAAGGTGTTTTAAGGAACTATGTACCACGCAGTGTACTCCTTTTAATACTCTGTACAGGGTAATGTGGAGCCTAAACAGGTGAAAGACAGCTGCACATCAAACCAAGTATAACACTCAGCAACAGTTTGGGATGGAAGTAATTACTGAGACTGGTCAACCCACCCCCAGTCTACATGTAATGACACTCGAGAAACAAGGTCCTACTTGCTTTACAGGTGTATGAACCAACACTACCATGTCTTGGGAATACCCCAACTGACACCTAGGCAGGCCCATTTACCATTACATCCTGGATTAACAAGTGTAGCCGTCTCAGGCTCTGGTTCTAAGTGGCATACATATATTTTCAAATGAAAAATTGTGCTGCAAAATTCTGCCCAACAAGTGCTTTAACCACTTGCCAACAGTATGACACCTATTTTTGGCCTATATGCTTACTTTGACTGGATCTCTTGGTGATGGAGTCTGGTCGCTGAGACCTGAACTGCTGGGCAAGCTTCTCCCGCGTCGTCTGGTCCATTTCACTGCTGCCAAGAATGGTTGAACACAAAAGAAGATTGAAATTGAATGATGCATCTCTCATCATGAAAAATGATGTCTGAGTGACATTTCAGAATAGGAAGTATGATTGTCCTTTGTATATGGGTCATGCTCTTTCCGTGAACATAGGGCATATATTGGGTATTTGGTTCAAATTCCTCTTCTTAAGCTGTGCCGAACATATGACTATTCATCAAATATTGGAGTACTTATTTTCAAAAACAGATATTCAGAGGCGGAAGTCAAGAATGAAAGGAGAAAAGGAGAGATATTCAATTCTTCCATTAAAAAATTGCTTGAAAAAAACCATTTCAAAGGCATTTGATGCATATGCCCTACACCAATGACAAAAATAGCTTTTCCTTCTTGGGTTTCTCTTTTTGCTTTTAGTGAAATGTGATAAACAAGCAATGTGGACCAAACAACAATTGGACCCCTTGCTCCCTCCTTTAACTATTAAGGGACAGCCCCCATCCAAAAAGTCACTGATCGGTACCGTAGACCTTAGCACAAACAGGCACATTTTGTTGCTGCTTTATGGTAATTTTGAATAAACATTTGAATACTTGATCACTTGGAAGGTCAAACAGTCAATCATTTGAATTGACTCAGTCTTATCCCTCTTGTGTCTGATTTCCAGTTTCTTGTTCTGATTTTCCCTGCGCGTTCGTACTGAGATAATCCACACGTACTAAGATAATCCACATGTTGGTCATGGTGGGAATTGAGTGACTCATGCCCACATATTGCTCTATCTTACCCCATCGGCCGGGCCACTTTCAGCTCCACCTGCGGCTCACTCTTGGACTCAAAGATGACGGTGTACACTTCATTGACATCTTTGCCCTGGAGGTTGTGTCCGTTCCAGGACAAAACTTCATCCCCTAAGCAGAAGAAGAGAAAAAAAGCACTCCTGTCTTATTCTGGCAATACGTCTTAAAGGCTGATTCCAATGACACTCTGAAAACCATGGCTGTAACACTGCACTGCTCATATTGTTAGTGGAGATGACCAATTTTGATGAATTGCCTTGCTCAGGGACACAAATACCTGGTTGAGAGCAGATCCAGCTTAGTGCTTTAAATCACTATCACTTGTGTCTATATTTACTTCCCAAAGTACAAAAAATAGGAAAAGTGAATAAGGAAAGTTTTTTCTAAGTTTTTATTTCGAGAATCCTCCCTTTTTAAAAAATGAAGTTCTGCCCCCAAAACGGGTAGAATCCTGGATAAGTTCCCATCCTAAATGATTCTGGGCCTAATTTGACCCTTGCACACCAAGTGAACAATTTGACACAGAACATGACAATCACATCCAAAAAGAACTCAAGAAAGTAGTAACCCTTTTGGAATACAAGACTTGGCATCTTTCAACCACAACATCACTGCACTTCTCCTCTTTAGATGTCTTCTCTCTTTGATTACATCCATCATTGCCCAAATGAGCAACAGTACCGGAACACCAACTCCCGCTATTAAAATCCCTCCTGACATTTACAGCCTGCGTGCGTGTTGGTGCACTTGACTTGATGTATAATGCTACTGGCCAGCACATTTAATGAAGAAATTCATTATGGGCAACCCCGGTCCCATTTGGCAACCTCTCACACAAGCATGAACACTGGGGAAATGAAAATTTACACTGGGAGAGGAAAACTATCAACACAGACGGCACAAGGATATGTTCAACTGGGGAAGAAGAGTTTAAAGGATGCCAATATTAGAACTCATTCTGATTTGATTTATCAATTGAACACTTCAACAATTTTTTGTGATACCAAAGAGCGCATGCTTTAATGCACTTAGAAGAGGAATTCTGAGAGTTTATAATTTATTAATGGTCTTTGCACACTTGTCTTGCCAAGTGTTTGAAAAGGTAAACGCGAATTTCTAGGCGGACACCCATTGGTGTCAATGGAGATTGAAATGAACCACTGTTCGCATTGAGGAATTACGAAATGGTGTCTAGCACATGCGTTCCTGATTTTCACATGTGCATTATAGATTTTTCAATTTTGACTGACTGTTTCTTTCATAAATCCAAGCGCTTGAGTGTCTTAGTTTGGACGACTCAGGCTTGGCATGTGAAGAGTGTTAAGAACTACAATTCAATAAGCACCTGTCCCCAAGATTTTGGATACACATATGCCATGCAGGGGTGTATTAGGGAAACACCTACATGTACATATCCATAGTCTTGATACCAGAATGCAGCAATATGCCATCATGATACAAAAACATGTACATGTAGCGTGATACTTGACTATGAATAAACAAGGGCAGATCCTGAAGCAAAAATTGTTTCTATGGGAGGCCAAAATTTTTGAACGTTTGTTTATGACATTTTTTCATTGTCTTTCTGAGAGGTGGGGCTATATTTTGGGTACATAATTTTGGAAGAGCGGGAACTGAAATGGATCACCTTTTTCTCATTATTTTTCAAAACCAAAAAAAAAAATATATTTTTTTTTTGTTCCTTCAGGCCCTGTTTGCCCCACCTATTGATCTGCCCTGGTAAATACACATGAAGAAAAATGATTTCAAGACACAGACGTTTGCATTTGTGGTCAACGTACATGTCTCCTGTAAACTGAAAAAAAAATGACCAGTGAATGTTGAAAAAAAGTAAGTAGCTACAGTACAAGCACATAGCACTGGCACAGAGTGGTACATATGAGAAAGACTTTAAAACGTGTGTATGAGTGCAACTTGTAGACTAGTCTAAGGTCGTGTCCGAAACGGACTTCCAGAGCTACGGCTAGGTCTATTGTCTGCACATCTTCCACGCATTTCCAAGGGAGCGAAGACCTAGACCTAGCTCTAGACAAGAGATTCGGATGCAGCCTAAGACTTGATATACACACATACATGTACAGCCTCCGTAACTGTAACAATCTCTGTTCATGATGCAAATCATGATCAAGCATAGCGGTATCATATCGTGACTTGACTTGTGGTATGTGTCACATTATGAACAGGTGTTATGATTACACCCTAATGACATCAACCATTTTACTGCATAAGTTGTGTGACAAATTGTGGCACATTTTTCAAGAAAGTTACGCACTCCATATGTCAGTGACTTGTGCCACAAATCTTGGTGTAACATACATGACATATGTAGGAATGGCAGCGCAATGATTTTCAAAGTGGGGGAAAGTTGTCAGACCATCAGCCATCAGCCAATCCAGTAAGCCCCATCCTATTAAAGGACCTGAAAAAACTGGGGGGGATGCCTTCCCCAGTCGAAAAAGGGGGGCATTGACCCCCCACCCCCAGCTTCCGCCGCTAGTGATATACACTCCCTTTAGGGGGCGTACGTTGTGCCAAAATATCAGAAATGAATGTATTTTACTGACTAGTAAAGTCCAGTTAAGGCTCATCATTGCTCAACTTAACAAGTCACAGTAGGTAATCAAAAATGTCCAACTGTGAGAGACCTTCAAGATTTTCTGTCTGGTTCCAATGAAGAAAAGACAGAAACTTTAAAAAATGGCAGACAGAGCTCACATTTAACAACTATGCAATGACCGATGTTATATAGAAAAGGAACTACTACGTTAAAGCCGTAATTATCGTCATCCAAAATATTCAATATAATGAAAGTGTTGCACAGCCAAACAACATTTCATGAAATTGGCCATGAGTATAGTGCACAGCTCCATGTACGTCACAGATCTGTAGTATAATGTACCAAGTTCCATGATATCAGCTCCAGCAGGAGGGGCCTGCCTTTACCTGCTCGCAGATGACCGACGGTGTCGGCGATGCTCCCCCGCTTGACCCGGGAGATGAAGGCACCCAGCTTGCCCGCCTCCTTGACCTTGCCGCCTTTGACCTTCAGCCCCAGGATGGCACTAGAGTCCTGCGGCGTCGAGCTGTCACCCTGGCTCTTCTTTAGGATCATGTGGCCAATCAACCTGTTGTTGTCCAGGTCTGGGGTCCACGTGACTGGTTGCTGAATATTCATGAGGGAGACACAAGGCGAGGTCGGAGTGAGACTTGGAAACTGAAACTTTTGAAAAGTTTCTATGCTATTTATTTATTTATTTATGAGGGTAATGCTAATTTCAGATGAGAAAATTGAAACTCCGGAAAAGTCTCTGATTTGGTTAGAGAGTGAAAATTACAAAACACAGAAAGAAGATTGATAGCTGTCAAGGTTATTTTGAAAGAAACCTTCCAAATCTTTCAAAATCCACCAGTGGTAAAGAATCAGTCAACAGCAAAAGCAAATGGGACTACTTTGTATTTTCAACTTTCGGAGGGCATCTGAGGGTCACATTAAAAAAACACTAACCGCACATTGCCTTCCTCAATTGTAAAAAAAATCTACCAAAATCTCTCGGTGGATTTTGAAGGATGCAGGCAAGTTTAATTGAAGGCAACTTGCAAGAACTTCAACACCGGAAAACATACCAGGGCCAACCTTCACAGAGCTGCAAACGATATTAACATCACTTGGCAGACAAGCAGAAAATGGCCGAGAACCAGTCACCGCAAATGCACATGTACCTTGCATGACATTTGGGCTGGTGACCTGTTTCTGCTAAGTGAAAGTTGAAAGTGATCGGCAAGTGTTGCATGCTTTTCACAGCTCTGTGAAAATGGCCTGTCCTGTTTCCCTCTCAAATTCACCTCAATGTTGTTACTGAAACGCTCATGCACACACAAATGAGACAAACTGAAAAAGAAGCTGGAATGTTTGTCAGGAATGGTCGATGACTTTTCCCTTTAATAGCACTTTTTTAAAATCAGCTTGTATAGAATTGCAAGCCTGAGCGCAAGGGACAACGACTTGCCCAACTCTGTATGCTGTCACCACTTAAATCGCAACCTTCTTGTAAATTTGACATGACAATAAACAAGTTTTTATTTCTGGGTGGCCATAAGGCAGCACCAGCAGTCAAGCATTGAAAATGCCACAAACACAATAAAAAAATGCACAAAGAATGGCAAAATATGAATTAATCACCTGCTACTCTACAAACTCCAGTATCAAAACAAATATTGACAAATATCCAAAAAAGAAAAAGAGCATTGTGTAGGCGGGGAAAAAATGGACAATGGAGGGAAGAGGGCCAAAAAAAAATCAAGGTGACCACAACTACAGCAGCAGGGCAGACGCATGCATGGCAACCCTCTCCACAGCAACAACCTATCCAGCCAATGGCAACTAAGCACTGGTATCTAAGGTTTTTTAACCCAGCATGCAGTGCACTGAGGTCGGAGGTCGGTGTTTGACAGTATAACCCTCTCTACATTTCATAATAATTCGAATGTCCATGATTGATGCCACGGATATGTGTTTGATGTCTAAGCTGTCTTTAATTGTTAGAAATTATTTCATGACTCTCATTTGATCACAAAGTGATCAAATATAAGTGTCTGAGTGATGAACTAAATATTACATTCACAATTCTTACACTGAAATTTTAATATTTTCTTTTTTAAAGTTGAAATTGTGAGTGAAGCTTTTCACAATTCAAAACTGTATTTCCTTTTTTAAAGTTGAAATCATGTGTGACATTTGTCAAGCTTTCAAATTCACAATAGTATTTTTCTTTTTTTTAATGGGAAATCCTGCATGGGGTTTTTCAAATTCTTCTTCAAATTCAACTTTCAATTTCAGAATACATGTCCAATCAGCATGCAAATACCGTATGTGCACTGTGTAAACACACTCTTTCTCTGTCCCCAACACATTGGAAGCAACAAGCAAGTACATGTACCTGTACATTAAATAAACCTGAAGCAATTAACCCAGACCATCCCAAATCCCTCAAAATCCTCTAGGCGGTTTTGGAGGATTTTGGAGGATTGAGGGTGCCTGGCAAAATTGCATTGCTGATTGCAAAGGATGCACTGTCTCAAGGTTGTGGATTAGACCTTGTGTTGTTTATGTTCAACCATGCATAAATTCATGCCCACATGTAAAATCCTCCATTCTGCTCCGGGATACCATTCACACTGCCTCAACATAATCATAGGAATTGCCAGAGGAGTTTGACGGATTGAAGGATTGGACACCACTCCACAGAACATATTCAAGAAATATTAGCTTTTGGAGGATTGAGGCTGTACCCAATTTTTTTTTCTTGGGGGCAGTTGGAGGATTTTGAAGGATTGAAGACGTATCCTCTAAAACGGGCCTAGGTAATTTTAAGCTCTCCAATTTCGCAATCAATTTAGATTGAATTTTTTTTTCTGGCATTGTTTTGTTTCTCAGTTGATGAGGTGGTTACCAACCAAAGTACAACATTAGAGTCACTTGGCTGGTTCCCACCATTTTGCTGAGCAATATGCTCAATTCTGTTAAGCAGCCCTGCCACAATCTGCCAGTGATGTGCAACTATGCACTCACCTCATTTAACACTTGATGCAGAGCAATCTTATCAGGCTGTCAGTTTGAAATTGCAAGTGCACATGAGAGGGATTTTTCTTTCAAGTGAATGGGCACTTCAAATTCCTAAAATGTTTAAGTCACCTCAGTACCACTTCATCACAAGAACCCATTTCTATTCATCCTTGTTTCAACTAGGCATTTACTGACTCATTGGTATCACTGTCATGTACCGAAGAAATTAAGTTTAATTTTAGAAAGATTATCCATGCTTCTCATTCCTATAAAAAAAGTCCAAGAAAATTTAGATGTATTAATGCTGTATTTCATGTTCAGCAATTCCATCTTACAAATTTCAAGACAGACATCTAGTATCAAGAATTGTATCCAAAATGGTCAATACAGACATATTTGTCTGACCTCTATTAACTTCAAGATAAATTATGGAGGGCGCCATATTTGCATGATGAGTAATCGGTGCTTTTGAAATGAGGCACCGTTCATGAATATTTGACGAACGGCTAATCCCCATTGTTAATGGAAGACTATGGGCACACATCTGGCCTTGGTTATTTAATGGCCTGCTTGTGACAGATTTAATTGGTAAGCTGAAGCGATATTTCCTCCCCCAGTTAATTCCGACTTGGGGGAAAAAAAAAACCTGCTTGACTTGTGCTGGCTCTTGCTTTCTTATTGACGTCACGGACAACCGTCACGCATGGCGACCCAAAACTTAACGAGTGACAGCAAGAGACTTTCATTAATGGCGTTATGGCAAGGCAGTTGAACAAGGTGTTTATGATTTTTCCCCTGGGGAAGTTTTGTGGTTTTGACTTGAACGTTGTCTGTCAAAGAGAATGGGCTAAAGGGGAGGGGGGGTGCATTGAGGGGTTCATCTCAAATTGCAGTCACAATGCCTCACTGTCTGCTTGGAAGGTTTTATGGGATACACTCACATGAGGCCATCTCCCGAGAATGGGTAAAAATACAAAGAACATGCAGGAAGACTGCATTCATTTTACTAAAAGAAGCCTCTGGTAACAATGTTAGCATTTTGTCAGCTACACTATCAGACCCAAACAGGGGCACAGCCAGTGTGCTTCCGATTTTCAACTTCCTTTTTATGCTTTTTTTGTTTTTTGGATGAGGGTCATGTCTCATCATTTGGCTACTCTCAACTGGTTACTGGATTACATGTACATTAAAGACAGAAATCTTTCTCCATATGGGTAAAAAGATGCCCAGCTCCCGTGTTCAGCTGTCACATCTATTGTGGTCCCCCTTCCTTTCTGCTTTCTCCCTAAATGTTGGATCCACCACTGTTAAGGATAATCATCAAAGGCCAGTTACTGTCTGCATCACTTACACTGTTATCAGGAGCTTCCAAAGTGTACATGTCCAGTGATCACATGCGCAGATCTATCTGCCAATTTTTAAATGTGAATCTCTCTCTCTCTCTCTTTTTGGGGGCAGTGTGATAATTTTTCATACAATATTTGTCCTGGTTAAGGTAGCCACTAGTAGGATTCTCCCTCTGATACAAATCTCGGCTTATTTACAGGTATCTCAAATCCTTGAACGGTTAAGTCAGATTTTTCAGGACCTGTTTGAGTTATTTCTTGACCTGACAATTTGTGGTATGAAATAATCCAAGTGTACAAAACATTGAACAAGTACAAAATTGGCTTATTTTTTTCCTTATTTTGTTAACTAGGGGCAATTCACAATACAGTGCAGTGCGCCACCAAGAAGTTGCTATGGAGATGCTATTTTTTTTAGTTCATGGTTGATGCTGCCTTGCTGTGATTTGTACATGAGTGTATATCAACAATGAAGTTTTAGCTAGACTAGGATGTAATAAAAGGAAGTAATGATTTCACTGAAACTGCTACTCAAAATACAGTCAGGAATCTTCCCTGACAAATATTGGCTATTTTGAAAATGGAAACACATTGAAAATATTTCCAAAGAAAATAATGCAGGTTACCCAGGTGCAGCCGGCGAACAGAATTGAGGAGCATTTCCGATACGGCATTTCTTTCGTTCTCTTGATGGCATACTGTACTGTGAATCGCCCGTGTTTGTCATACAGTAAATGTGATGCCTCTCATGATCAATATGTTTGATAAAGGAATGCATGCACAGAGCATTATCCAGACTGGAGAACATGAGATGGATTTTGTGATGGCCACAGGACATAACACAACACTTACAACATTTCAAGACAATGGACCATGCCATCTTTGAGCAGTTTTCAGTGAAACCGCTATAGCATAAATGCATGCTGTAACATGTTGAAGGTCAGTAGAAACAAGAAACACAAAGCGTACGAAAGAAGGTTTGGAACAGCTGCAAGATGGCAGAACTTATTGATGAAGTGAAACACTTTAACTTTCAACAAAACTGACTTCTAACAAACTCACGACACACAAAAAAAAACAACTCTACTTCTCATAGATTTGAACCGTGTGGTGAAATTTGGGGGAAAGCTTCTTGTACCTTGTAAAATGAGTTCAACAGAAATGAAAACAAAACGATGCTCGTCAAATTTTTTCTCCAAAAATATTAGTTATTTCTCTCCTGAAATGCTTGTAGCAACACTCGTGCGTTGTGCTATGTGTGCATACAAACAGCATGCATTTTGAAGCAAATGAATTCCTTTGCTGAGAATCCACACACATTATTCTTTATTGAAAACAAATTTTTTGACAGTCAAAGTGTCAATAACATTTGCTCTTTAACAAAAAAACTGCAAGCGTATTAAATTCTTTGCCCACTGACGTGTGTGGATGGAACATAAGGGCCAGCACCACGGTCCAGTAGGTCCGTTTAATTAACAGTTGGTATGAGGGTGGTCACAGGCCAGGAACCCAATTTCTACACACGGCTGAGCAGAATCCAGCTTGGTATTACGTTATGCATTTATGTACATTGTATACAACACATGGCACTTTGGGTGGAAATTTTTGAGCTTAACTCATTCCTGCGCTTAACGCCTCTATGAAATCGGGAGCAACCGCTAACAATAACATTTCAGTGGTGTCATTATTTCTTTAAAAGGCCTCATTCCTGGGTTTCACTGAATATACAATTCTTAGTTTTGGCTCAGGCTGTAGAGAAATCAGCATACATGTAGTATCCAAGCATGGTGTCTTGGTACATGTAAGATTGTATTTCTTTGGTTTTCATCACATTTCTGAGCGCACTGGTATACCAGTAGAACTATTAGGATTTGTTGATTTAAAAGAAAGCACAGCTTTTCAATAGGGACCAACAAATTGTTTTGATGGGTGTATCAAAAAAAAATGGAAATGCCATTTGTGATACTTTGCTAAGGTAATCTCACTTCAGTGTTCAGTAAACTTAAATGCCAATCATTTATTACATGTACATATTTGTTCAAACTGTATGCATGAATGCTGGGCTTTTAATGTTGAAGCCTGCGATTCCAGAATATTGATGGGAAAGTCCCTCGCATAAAAGCCTTGGCAAACAAATTTTCAGGACTTGCATTATTAACAAAGCCGGCTTTCTGAGGCAAGAAATGCATGTGCTGTCAGCCCACACATTCTACCCAGACAGCATTATGGGCAAGGCCACTCCAGAGGTAACCCCCAGCAACCAAAATGGCCGAAGTCATTTTCCAAATAGAAGTGCAATGCTTCATTTGAATTTAGACGCAAATACCCAAAAAAATATCCCCCCCCCGATTTTGTTTACTTATAAAATGCAAATTCAGTCAGCAGGCTGAGCAAAATTGTCTTGCATTTAAATTCATCAAGTTTTTGTTGTGTTTTGTTTTTATGACAACACTGCAGAAATGAAAGCCTACTCACAGAGAATCATCAAACCTGCTCTGAATGCAGTGGGATATAAAGCCCGTTCTGCATTATTCATCAACACTGTTAAAAGCCAGTTTGTGGATGTGGTGTTTGGCAAGATGATTAAAGGGGCTTGTCCTACAGGCAGCCATTGGGTGTCAGTCACCACAATGACAGCTGCAACATTTGCGACTTACAGCTACATGTACATGTAGCTAGCTTGAGGTCTCCTTTAAAGAAAGATTTTTCTTCATTGTTTGGATTTGTGGCTTCAATAATTTCCTAACTATTCTTTGCAGTTCTCAGCCCTGTGATGACAAAAAAGGAAAAGCTCATCACTGAAAGGTTACAAATTTTAGCCTTGATTAAATGATCAATTTTTGCATTTGGCTTATAAGGCCTGTGGCATCATCTAAAACATTTTATCTCTGCATGGATTTTTGCCCTAGTTCTATCAAGAAAACTGTTTAATCTTGGAACCCCAACTAAACCAATAGGCATGATCTATCATATATATATATACATGTATATACATGTATATGCTTATACTCAGAAAATCTGCATGTGATATTGTGTGCAAAAATCTTTTTCATATTATGAACTGGTGTGCAAAATGGAAAAGAGAAAATGGGAGAACACTGAACACAGGTAGGGAAGAAAAACTGCATTGTTGAGCATGATTTGTTGAGACAGCTGCAATTACATGTAGGCAAGTGAATGCATCAATCAAATTCTCCCATTGTAATGGTGCATCAGCACAGCCCCTTTTTCATCATGTGGTCTGCGTGTATTCACAAGGTTTGTGTATTGAAGAGGTTGGGAGAATTCAGGGATGACGGGTTTTGTTCCAGACAGTCATTCACTACAGCAACCCAAATTCAATTTGAAAATTCAACTTGACTCCCCCAATTTCTTTCAATGAATAATGTCTCTGAATTTGCAAGACATTCTTAGCTAATGGGAAAAATTATCATTTGCCAAGGAAAAGGTACTGTACACATCGACCAGTCCAACTGTACACATAATACATGTACGATGTCCTTATTACATGTACATGTTGTCAATATCTTGTGTACTGTCATCCTCTACATTTCAAAGAGTGATTAAGCACATATGTATGCGTATCAATCAAAGATCTCTTGTTAAATTGTGTAAAAATATTTTGAAACACGATTTTGCAGATTCTAGGCATGCAATTTCTGTTGAATCTCTACATGTACATTTCTGCTTGGGTTTACAATAACTTTGATATCATGCCACAAGCACGTATTCCAAAATGCAAAAGGAAATTTATGGGAAATGATATCAACCCATGCAAATGTAATGAAAAGTGAAAGATGGGGATGAGGGCAAAGCAAAGTGGGGATAATGCAAAATTGAAATGTGCCATTTTCAAATGAGACATCATACACAATTGGCAATTAAAGCCCCTTAGTGATCTGCCACTGATCAACACCTCATGACCGTACCTCATGCAGTTATTTCCAATATTCAATGTGCGAGGTTCACATGTACATCCCAAAGGTAAGGATAAGGTTTTCACTTCAAATCACACTTCATCTTGGACATAATGGGCGAGGAACATTAAAGCAGCATTTTCCTCAAGGTAGTCAATGAGGCGCCAGTAGATAAACGTACATATGTATAGCATTGAACAGTGTCTCAAGGTTGAAAGATAAGTACTTCGTACAGCAAACCTCACACACCCTCAGCATTTATCTTGTAAGGCACTGAACTTCACTGCTGTTGCATGACTGATTTGAGGTTATCAGAGGGGAGGTTTTGAAGAAAGGTGTGACCACTAATTCAGTGATTTTGACGAGTGCCAAAAGAAGTAAACTAAAGGGAATTTAGCTGAGGTTTTTTATTTTATTTTTTCATTAATGATGTCTCTGGCACACACACAAGTGGAGAAATAGAAATAAGAACACAGTAAATGAAAATGTGCAAGTATGACTTTTTCTGCGCTACAAATTGCTCAAAACGCAACAGCAAACTCATTTTCAGTAACCAAGCAGCAAGCTATACAATATAAAAAAATCACTAAAACTCAGATTTTTCAGACCCTGACAAATCCATTCAAAAGTGATTGGATCTGTAGAGTCATCATAAAGATTGCAAATCTCCAACAGGTGCCCTGACAAACATCATTTTTTAAGCTTGCTGAGTGAATTAATGAAAATGGATTCATCAAAGTGCCTGAAGAACTACGTGTATTGGCAGAGTGTGTTCAGCTATACAGTCAAGAATGTGTGAATCTTTTTTTACATGTATTTTGAATACAACTACATGTACATTTATAAGACACACAAATTTAATATGTACACGTATTTAAGTTTACTTCAAAAGGACGAAAAAATAGAGAGGCCAGTTCCTAGGGGCTAACCTTGGAAGCCAGACTATGCTCCTCATTTAAGGTTGTACTGCTACCGGTATCCACCCCCGAGTCTTTAATTTGCGGCTCGGACCACTCGGGGTCTTCCTCCATGGACCGGCCTTCCCCCTGGCCGAACCGGACAATTTTCTTTTTGGCGGCCGAGAGGGCCAGCTCTGATTCCGAATGGTGGTGGTCGTCGGCAGCGACTGGTTCCCCGCGCCCGCCATGCATGCCCTTATCCTTGCTGCTGCTGTTGTTGTTACCCCCACCGGTCCCAATCTCAAGTTCACCCGAACCTGAGCGGGCGGTCAAGGGGGGTTGATGGCAATGATTAGAAGAGCGGAGGGAAATGAACAAAAACCAAAAAATAAAATAAAATAAAAATAACTAAACACAGTGTACAGAGAATTGCAACCACAGCAAGAACACACCAAGTGAAAGTCTTTGGGTAGCCACTGCAAGAAAATGAAGATTTTTCTCTTCCCAAGAACAATTTTGTGAATTGTAAACATTCTGTTTCTTCTTGTAATTACCCAATAGGTAACTACTCTCACGAAAGTGTTTCCATTTAAGTTACATATCCTGCAAAATGACTGACTTTGTGTCTTTGACCAAGACACAAATACCCATCACGGTCATATTGCCTTTATTTCACATGTACGGTCCATGTAGTAAACAGAGTGGTTAGGCTCTCAAGTTGGATCCTCCTTTTAACGCCCCACCCTGGAAATCTTTATCTTTGCAACAACTTCTGCTTCCCAAAGAACTTTCACATCAGCGGTTATAACAAATTGACACAGTGTGCCGATGATTGCTTATGACATCATCACGACATCACCCTCATCGTCACATGACCTCACCAGCATCAGTGACGGTCCATCTTGGTCATGTGACCATCGATCTTCCCAGGCTTCCGGTTCTCCTGCATGTGATAAATCTGTGGTGAATCTGAACTACATGTACATGAACATGATTGTACGACAACATCTGGTGTTTCAAAATCTTGCCTCAGTAAATTTAACCAAAAGTCTAGTTCTGACACTCCTTAGGTACAGGGCACCGGTACACATAGGGAGAATAAAAGGCAATTAGGTGGAGAGGACTTGACAATCAACCTTTGTACTTAGTAGCTGAAAATTCACAAATTTATTTATATGGGCCCATTTACATTGGCTAATTAAATTGAGAAACACTGCTTGGCTAACCGACGTACTAAAAGGGAAATCTCAGTTGGAAACCAGTGCAATGCAAATGGCATGACAACTTGGCTTAGCAAAGTTCATCACTTTGTGGGTACATCAAAATGAGACATGTAAGCAAGGCAGATACATTTAGTAAAAAAAGAAAAATAGAATGTTGTCAAGACAAGTCCTGCCTCAAAACTTTCACAGCAGCAATTTTTAGCTTGGATGAAGGGCATCAAAGATGTCAATTGTAAATCTACATCTATGTGTAACTTTAAGATTATTGTTTTGCAATAATCTAACTATATTAGGTGTTTGTCTGCAATCACACCAGAATTACGGAACAAGAAAAATTCTCTGCACCTGCTATACGGGACAGCAAAAAAACAAGCTGGGCCAAAAATAACCTGCTAAATAAAAATATACATGTAATCAGACTTACTGACCAGCAAATTTGTTTAATCCATCATACATGTACATGTATGATAGATAAGTGGCTGATTCTTGGAGGGGCTCAGAGGATCTCTTAGTCTTTTAAAAGAAATTGGACATTTTAGAAGGTGCAATTTATACCGGTACACGTAAGAATCTTCTTTTAGCTGAAGTCTCCTACGTAAATGCTTGTGGGATATTAGACCAATTTTTTTCTTCAAATCATGATAGATCAATGACAGTTTCCAATAAGGTCTCATAACACGGGAAAGGCATTTTTCTGTTACAAGTTACAACTCATCTGAGGTACACTAGTGGATGATACAAATAAACTTTTGGGGGGGAAATTCTTTCAGCGATCATTACAGGATGGAGATTTCGTATCCTTTACAGGTACGTGTTGGCACTCCTCATTACCAGCACCTGTGGCAGGAATTGCGAGCTGGCACAGAATTAAGCGACAACACGTGGGCCGTGCAAATCCTTCATAGGAGGGGGTCCCACAACGGGACAATCCGTGGGTGGCTTTAAGAGCAAGGGCCGGGGGATGGCTAGAAGAAGGCCTGATTTGAAAGCTTGTACTTGGCAGAATGACACCCATTTCAATTCTGGAGGGAGGGAAGGAGGAAAGGCTTTAGATGGGACATCGGGAGAATGGATGGGGGTGGATCTAGGGCAGTAGATAATGGGAAGGTGGAGATGGTTGGGAACTTTGAAAAGGACACCCATTTCATGATGCTTAGTGATTGCGTTATGAAACGATCGGGCAGGTGACCTGTTTTTTGGAATGCGAGATTTTTCTCCCTAGCAGTCTAGGTACCGGTAATTTGGTACTTGAATCTATTTTGTAAAAAACAAACTGCTCACTGTGTGAAGCGCTCATTAGAGGGACAGAGGGTTTTGGTGAAATTGTTTCCACATTCAAGGGAAGCACTCAATTCAAGGGGAAATACTGCCCCTAAATTCTGGTTTGTGACTACTGGAAGCACTGCAAAACTGCAGTGTTAAACTGTTTGGTTAAATTAATGCACTCCATATGACAAATATTGAAGATGCTAAATTTCCGCAAGCAGTTTTTCAGAGAAATCTTCTAAGCCTGATCGCACTATCATCAAAAACATGTGTTCTTAACAAGTGAATAATTGAAGAGAAGGCCACTAACCTCGCTCACTGACACTTTCACTTTCAATCTCTCCTTCCTCACAGCTAGTGTACTCTGGTGTTGACCGGATTTCCTCCTCGGAGCTACTTAACGAGAACTGTCTTCTCTTACGAGACCCCTTGGTCTTGTGTGGCTTCGGGGGAGGCGGCCGGACACACTCACTTTGGTCTGAGCTGAGCGAGTCAGCCCTGATCATGGAGTCAGCAGCTTTACTGTTCCTGGACAGGGACTCCTGTTTGCTTGTCTTGGTCGCAGCCGAGCTGGGGTCCAGGTGCTGCTTGGGGCCCAGCTCAGGGGCGCGGCCGGGAGCACCATAGGATTCGGCCAGAAGGAGCCGCTCCCGCTGGGCGTCAACATCTTCCACGGTGATGCTGTGACGGGGCGAGCTGTTGGGCCGCTTCTGTGACACACCTTCCTGTGGGTATGGTGGCCCTGCCCCCCTGCGGTACTCCTCGCCGAAGCGTTCCTCGTCCTTCCGGGGTGAGCTCCGCTTGGACTCCCCAGGGCTGCGGTCCCGCTCGCGTCGGGCACGGGTCCGGCGTTCACTGGGGTGACGCTCAAACTCCCTCATGTCCATTTGAGCACCAACGCCTTCCCGGCGTTCAGGCATGTCCCGGCGGTCCATCTCACGCCGGTCCGACAATTCCCTGTGCTCTGTTTCCCTACGATCTATTTCCCTTTGATCCATGTCTCTTCGTTCACGATCTGAACTGGTGTGCTCTGGGTAACGATCGTGTGGGTAATGCGGCGAGGGTGGGTCATCTGCATACATCCTGCGCTGACGATCCAAAGTTCTGCCACTCACCTGACGCACCAAGGGCTCCTTGGTGTAATGGCGCCCTCGGTCATGATCCCCTGCGTAATACCTCTCCTCAGGATAACCATGTCGGTCAGGACTCTCATAGCCATGATTGAACCTCTCTCGATCTCTTTCTCGTTCATGATCTGGGTACCGCCCATGATCCCGTATGTGGTCCTGGTTTTTAAATCGCCGTGGATCCTGCTCCATGAAATGCTCACGCTCACGCCCAGAGTATTTGGCTGGGTCCCGTCCATGACGCTCTGTCATGGTGGTGCGCTCACTACTCGTGGAACGGTCCCGGTCTGGTGTCCTGTCCCGCATGGAGTACCGCGACTCCCGCCGGCGGTCCTGGTAATGCACATCGCTGGATGGATCATAGCTGGGATCGGCCCGCGCATTGTGCGTCCGCTCGTCATGGGCACCCGGCCGTTTCCCAGCCAACTCCCGGCTGTGAGTTCGGTGCACGGGCTTGGAGTTGGTTTGGGGAAGAGGCGACGACGTCTCGTCCTCGTTCTTGGACAGCTGGCGGGTGAGTTGACTGTGTGGTGTAGTGGAACGCGGCCGTGAGGGCGGCTGGCCAGCCCCCAAGTTCTCCTTATTATTGTTGTTGCTGGGCTTCGCGCTGTGGAGTATTTGTTCCATTTGAGGCTTGATGATTTGTTGCTGTTGTTGCTGGGGCCCATCCTTGGCAGGCTGAGGAGTTTGGGGCTTGCTGCCCCCATCGATAGCCTTAACTGCACTGAGGTCCAGGCTCTGAGGTTTACCTTGCCGACCGTGGTACCACTGTCCAGTTTTGGTCAGAAATTCCTGCTTTTTGCGACACAGTTTGCACACCCATAAAACCTGTGAACAAAATTTGACGAGAGAGAACAAGGTTATCCCACAAGATCCTTTTTGTCTTTTAAAATCACATCCAGTATCGATGAATGAGACAATAATGGTAATGCTATCACTAACTGTTTGCCGTGGCCCCCACTAATGGCAGTTACCACTGAAGTTCATGCAATTACTGTGCAGAGCCACTGTTCCATGACGGTCACTCTGTACAAAAACTAACACAATGCTTTCCACCATTAAAGGGACCATTGCAAATATCCAGTTAAACAATAATTGACTCCGTCTACAGTGCACATGTCACTGCTTGTTATCACACCAAGATGATAAAGTGCACAACTGTTGGGGGCTAACAGTTTGACATTTAATATTTCAGTGAAGGTGGACATTAAAAGCATAAATTTTCCCAAAAATTCCTTCAAAGTTTTGATGAGTAAAATCTATTGAATTCATTTCCTCCGATGATAACCTATGGAGAAACATGTAACCTTTCAGTAAAAGAGGCACAGACAAGTCATACCGGTACATGTACGTCCCAGACCCAATTTTCCTTGCACCAGGGAAATCAATACAAGCTACATGTATCAACATTTCACACCAGCACGGTCTCTATTTTCATCAGCATTGCAACCGGGAGACTCATCAGACCAAAGAGCTCAAATTAATCATTCCATAGATGGAAAATTTTTAAACAGGCCTCAAAACTCATTTTGCAGGATTGGGTAACATTTTGATTTCATGCATTTGAAACAAACACACAGAGTGCTGTATATAAATGCCGGTACCACAGAAACTGGAAGTTCGTATCAATTACTTCACTGCAGACCCAATTTCTCTGTTCAGTGTCCCTCTCCTAAGCTCATAACCTTCCCCTACCTTATGATGAAGAAGCACAACTCAAATACATGTATTGAATAATCTGTGTACCACACCCAACAAGCACGGGAGAGTGAACTTAAAACTGTGGCTTTTTTTTTTTTTAACGTTTCCAATGTGTTGTGTGTACACACCCCACCATGTCAACAAAACTCAACCTGTAATTGGTGCACACAATTTATATTCAAAGCTAACACTGCAGAGAAAAAAAAAACGACCGGAAAAGACATGGAAAAAGGCTTGTCACTTGGCAATGCGTGGGATGGGTAATTCCCCCGGAACTGATTTCTCTTAGGATGACACAGTTCCTTGACAGGAGAGGAGAGATGGAGGCAAGGGCCTGTGAAAGAAGTGAAGGGGGGGAGGGAGATAACAAAGTGCCGCTGAGTGATATACCCGAAACTAAATGTATGGAATATGATATCACTGACAGCAATGGTGGAACCACTTCAACTGTAAGTGCCCAATTGGCAAAAATCAAGTAACCTAAAGTGTATGTATTTATTAACCCCATGTACATATAACTGTTTTCAATCCTCCAAAATCCTCTAGGAGATTTTTAAAGTAGAACCATCTAAGGCCACAACTATGTACATGTACATGTTCACGTGCATAAATGACATGCTGTACATAATCCCTGTGGCAGCACAATGAGCTACAAACATGTACACATTTCATTCATTCATAAATATCATTCAAAGTCGATGCCACAGAATATGGAGACCCATTATATACTTTTATATATGTACATGTGTACATGTACCGGTACATTTACATGTACATGTATCTCACTACTTCAATCCCCCACAACCCTCCCTTTTCATTTCGAATAATTCTGCTCAAGATGATGGACATTTGAGAGAACCTGACAAGGGGAGGGATGATTTTATCACAAGGAACATTTTAAATGTAAGAACAAATTAGTGGTGTGCCATTTGTATATATATTGACAGACCCTATCGATTTCAACCTGACAACATTGCCCAGCCCTTGACAGAGTATAAAGAACAGGTCAGCATCTTAAGACCTTCATGGGCATCACGACGCAAGGTGCAACGAGTGACAAGCCACCACAGTGGGAGCACAGCACCAAACCGCGCATCAATCAACCCAGGAGTTAATTAAGGAAACTGACAGTAAAGACAATACTGCTAATTAGAAATAGTTCTCACCGACTGGTTGGAATGCAACAGCACGACAGGGGTTAGTCATGTTGGCCAACCGGAAACACAGACTTGTAAGCATTAGAGTATCAGTGCTATAGGTACACAAAGTAGAAACAAGTAAACACCCCAGAATGCATTTTAAACATGTAGGTGTCAAACTGGTAACGTGCTTGAATGTAAATCTTCAGGATTAAAGATTTTTCTGTTTAATACAATTGTTTCCACTCTAATTGTTAATTCAGGATTCTGTTGCAATCCTGAGGTGAAATGCATGCCGGTACATGTAAAGTGTGCATGACAAGGGGTTCTGTGTAACCTGACAACTGTAATTACAGCCCCCCAAATATTTTGGCAATTTGCGTCTCACTTACTCTGAATTTAAAGACACTTTTAATGGTAAGTTTTATTCCTGTACATATATACACGCGGGAAATGTGGTTACCATACCAGCCCCCCTTTTTAAAACTCAAGTATTTAAATATTTCTGCCTGCTGTAACGCTTTAAAATAAGGGAATTGCAGAGAACTGATCCATTAAGTGTTGTTATTAATTCTGACACTTGATTCATTCTACATGCGTTTTTCATCCTACTGGTACATGTGTCATATGCTACAGCTCTGAAAGCATGCGACCCAGGGTACCATACACTCACATGTGACACTGTATCTGCTGAAATTTTTCTTGCTTCTTCTAAGAGGCAGTTGTATAACTACATGAGGCTCATGTGCTCCCCACCCACACTCCCGATCTTGAAATGTGGAAATGCCCTCCCCCTCCCCAGCAATTTTTTTTCCATCATAGGCAGTGATATAGTTGAGACCTGAAAGCTGGAGACCGAGACCTGAGGACCGAGACCAACTCAGTGTAGACTACAGAGTCCAAAGTAGCGACTGAGACTGAGATCTTATCTAGACAAAGAAACATACGTGTAAATAATAATGAGAAATATACATTTCCAGCCACCAAAACATGGTGTAAACGGTTTTTCTAAATGCTGAATAGATTCAAATGCTGTCACTGTGTTACATGTACCCACTTTGAAATTTCAAGAATTTGTCAGATTGTTTGAAAAGAAAAAAAACTAGAAGACACACAACTAGTTTTCTTAACATCTCAGTTTTTATTCTATTTGCTAAGTAAAATGCATTGTACCCAGAAAGAAGTTCCTGTTAATAGAAATGCAGCAACATGTGGGTACCAGACTATTTGATTTCGTTCCTCAGAATCGATAACATTGTCTATTGAGACTTTCAAAAGCAAGTTAGGCCATATATATTCATTTGTTTTTTGGGGATTTTTCCCCCAAAGGAAAAATAAGGTCATGTATGCTTGAGACTCTAAAAGATCTTGAAACTTTTGCTCCAAGATCAAGTCTTTTGAGTCAAGTCCTTGAAATTGTTGAGACCATCAAAAATTGGTCTCAAGACTGGTCTCGATACATCAATACATATCATGTACATCACAGTGTTCATAAGTAATTGTTTAAGAATTTGTTCACTTTCCTTCTTTCCACATGTGTACAAAAGCCCCAAAATCTGGCCAAACTACTCAGAATAGCCATAAAAACTGTACTTTGAAATTTCCAAATGTTTGCCCCCCCCCCAAATATGGTCCTGAATCCATCCTTGCAGTTGATTTGCTTCCAATGACCCCTTGTATCCACCCCATGGGTACCCCTCACTGCCAGGAGGACATGTACATGTACTGTACAGGTGAGCATTTGTGTAGTACACATGCAAAATGCATGGCAGGATAGAGAAACAATGCCCTCATGAATTAGTTAAGAAGGTCTAATTAGTAAGATGCCGTCTTTACTGAAGGTGACCTCTTGGTTTTAAGCACCATAAGGGGCTCATGAATGATTGAATCTCTCTTCCTCTTGCAGTGGTACGTGGATCTTGTGATCTTAGACAAGACAATTGCCTATCTGTGTGGGTCTTGAACTGCTGTGCATAAAAACCAATGGAAGTGTTTGCATCCTTTTTTATTTCAATGTTATAATATCTGATGGTGTTCATGTATGTCACTCCCACATACATGTACAATGGTACACTAAAAAAGATTTATGGTGCTATAAGTGATTTGCTCTCCAAGACTTGAGATGGCAACTTCCAGCTTACATGTACATATATACGAGTACATGTACATGTACGAGTACATGTATATGTACCTTTGACTATATGCAACTACAATTCAATTGGGAAAAAAAAACCTTCAAAAAGCCTAATAAACTTTTAAATCCATAATCAAATAAATGTGCACTTGAAACAGCACCAAAGGTTATAGGTCTTTACATAGCAACCATGTATTTTCATATGATGGCCCAGTCATATAACACTACCCAGTACGAGCAGTATGTACAACTGGTATACATGTACATCACTGCTGTAGCTTAAATTAAAAATTACAACCAAATCAATACGCCGGGCAAAAAAAAGTGTCTGCAGTTCATGTTGTGGTTACCAGAGTCAAAACAAAGTTTAAAGCATATTTTTCTGTGAATCCTGGCATAAATTAGAAAAAAAAATCAATTTTTTTTTGTTTAACTGCTTGCACAACAGAAATAGCTTGGTTGCCAGCTGTCAAAGTCTATGGCAGTTCGACAATGATTGTAAAGAAGCACATGTGTGTTGTGCACAATGCATTGTCACCTGGCAAGAGTTATTTTCCAAATTATGGAGAAATTCTGCTCAGCAAAAAAGTGTGGTAAGGAAGAAACAGGTTGTCTGCCGAAGAGGCAAGCAATGTATAATTGTAGCTTGGTGACTGGTTCAGAGCTGAGAGAGCTGCTAAGCAGGGAAATCCTCTAACAACAGAAAAATTCTGCTTAGCAAAATACAGGTCAGGTTGCCAACCAAAATTGTATGCATACTCCATGTCTTTTGACTGGCTCACAGCCCATTTTGGATTGACGCATAACTTTGCTGAGCAACATTTTCAAAAGCTCTGTGTGATTTGCACAGTACA